AGAAGAAGAAAGAATGAAACTGTAACATAGAACAAAATATTCAGAACACTATTTTGTAAGTCCAAAAACACAGAAATTATAAAGCCATACCTAGGAACATATGCATTTATGTGACACAATCCACAGACCAGGAAAAGAACAAGCATAACAGTCAATGTCACATAAGGACTGAGATGAAAAGTGGAAAATTGTATCAGGAAAAACACAAAGAACAATTCTAAATACTTTGAAATACAATTAGAGTGCCAACACGCAGGTACGCTAGCTTTATATGCAGGAAGGACTATTTATAATTCTCTCCTTCAAACATACTTCCACAGTCAAATTAGTACTGTTTAAATTTTGAATGATAATTAAAATAATTTGACAATACCTTTTTATGAATGTCTGCAAACTTTGCTGTATTCTGTCTTCACACACATGTTGTGACTCACTTGCTGACATGGCTACCACACTAAGCAATAACACACAACTTCCAGAACCTTCCAGGCCTTGTAAGATCTTACGGAATGCATGCACAAAACTGGAATACTCCAGAGTTCCTGAATGGAGCTCAGTTGACAGCTGAGGAAAATGCTGTTCTCTCAATTTTAGCAATGCAGTTCTACAAACACAATAATACTTAAAATAAGAACAGGTTAAAGAGGACCGTGTAAAATCAACTGTGAAAAAATAAGTCAGAAGCCAAACATTTTAATCACATGGCAGTGAGTACCTGAACACGAAGCACAGAAAGTGAAAACAAAGTCAATGAAAAAGAATGAAGGATATAAAAACAATGTATGAGGAAAAAGAAAACACTTAATACTGTAAAGGCAGACCTAAAAATACCAACTGAAGACAGATTTCACTAATTGTAAGGGTATTATCAAATGCATCTAAATTAAAATATACTGTTCAACACATTAGATAAATTACAATATGGCCCAGTATAAAACAGCCCAAAATATAAATTAGCTTTAAATACAGAGAACACTCTATTTTATGTTCTACAGTGTCGTTTCCAAAAATAGGTGCAAAGATGGGGAAGATGTAAAATGAAGAAAATGTTTTTTAAACGCAGGAAATATTTTATGCAAACCTTGATTTAAAAGACTGCACTGAAGCCATGTGTTATTAAAACTGGCCTGAAGATGTTCAATCTCATCACAAGTATGACAATTGTGTAGCAGATTTCAAGTGTGTGAAAAGAAGTATTTGTTACCAAAAGAAATCTTCAAATAGCTTTAAAACATGTACAGTAAGGTTCTGACCTCATTCCTGTTTAATCTACTCATATCATTTAACAGTAACACCAAACTGTGCTTCACTTCTAAACTATTGTACTAGCTCTGATATTCATCAGAAATGTTGGTTTGTCATTTGTGGAATTTTATCCAAAGAAAGTAGGTTAAACCCTGGTTAGCATGAGGGCAACATTCAACCACTGATATGAGGTAATTTTATTTAGCGGTGTAATGTGTCGAGTAAAGTAATCTCAGATAATTTGTAGTATTGTACAGACTACAATCACATACTGGGCTTCATACCTGCTATGTAACTTAATGGTATTTCATATGTCAATCATTAGTATTACCTGAGCTGCTCATTATCAACATCTTGGGGTCCAGTAAGGCATGCTAACAGATCCAGTGCTCTGCACTTGTAGTGAAGCTGCAAATGGGATGAAGAGAGTTGCGTTATAACCCACTTCTGAAGGGCCTCATACTTAGCAAGCCCTCCAATTGGTTGTGGTATCATTCTTGCCAAATGAAATACAAGACCCAGCAACTGATAGATTTGTTCTGAATTGCCTTCAACCAAACTGCACAGTCTATTCCAGTGATTCACTATACTCCTCTGCAATGTACATATCACAGTGCTGAAAAAACAAGAAAAATCATTATATACAATCAAAAATTAGTGCAGGGGAATTCCTGTGAGGGGGAATCCAATCAAGGAATTTCTTAGCCACTCCTTACTTGTTTAAAATTAAATCACATATAATAATAAAAGCAATGTAGATGTGTGGATTACTCCATTATTAACTGTTCAGTAAAGTGCTGTATAACACCTGACCATCTAACACTTTGAAAAAGTCATGTGCTCCTTAACATGTTCACATGTAAGTAATTTTGCTTTCATAGTTAGTGCTTTATGGAAGAAATCTCTTTGAACATTGTCCACTGTGTAAAAACAAAAAATTACATAACATTTCAGAGGCTCTTCCAGGTTTCAGTTCAGTATTTTCTGTTTGGACACTTTCCAGATGTAGGATTAAGACATAAACCAGTCATTTTCTTGGGAACCTTAGACATTGGAATCCATGTATCTAATCCTAACTTTGTCCTGTAATCAACTCACCTGTCTCCATGTTTCTTCTTTATGTTTTTGGCATAATACTGCAACAGTTCTGTCAAAATGGTTATTACCCATTGCACATTATCTGGGCTGATATCTTGTACAAGACTATTTACAGAATGTTCAGAATGTGCCAACATGTGTTCTAGGATGGCAGATCGAAATGTCACAAAAAAGTGTTCTCCATGCAGTACAGGTAAATGAGTAGCAGGGTTCTGGATCCTAGCCTGATCCTTCATGCAGCATGCTACAGCAGACACCTGTACATAATAAAAAGAACACTAATGTACAATGTGCATGGGATTTAATTCTATTATTAACAAGTCGTTCAAAATTCAGTCCTCTAGATATAAAATTTGCTTATAGTCGAGATAATGTAAGATTTCAGGTTCTCATGGTGGCGAGTTTGAAAATGGCAGCCTCCTAGGTTGTTGCACTGTGGAGTCTCGTATCAGGGTGCAACAACCCAGATGACAGTCGCCTTCAAGATAATAGTGGTATTTCAGTGGATTCCTTCTTTACCTGGCTGGAAATATAAACTGCAGAAATGTATGTTGTAAGATAAGAATGTAAGTAATTTACACCTCTCTTGTCTTGAAAGGCTTGGCCATACCTCTTTATTAAGTAAGAATGCAAACTTGAGAAGAGATTCTGCATAAGTGAAAGCTGTTGGTTGTAGCACAACAGCCCGCTTCATATCACCTTGGCCTTCAGCCAGTGCAGAAAACAAATCCTTAACAATCTGTTTACCATCAAGTCCACACTGGTTTGGCAGCTCCTGGCAATCATAAAAAGGAAAACCAATCCCAGTAAAAATGCTATTAAAAAGATAAATTGGGTTATGTATTTTCCTGAGAGATTTTCTTCACAAAACCTCTGCCAGCTTTGTACCTGCTACACTCTGCTTTACCCTTGCAGTGTTCACTAACTTTGTAGTTGATTGTGTTGGGATCCCAATCAGGTGGTAGGTAATGTCTTGTGGGGATTAATCAAGGTTATGAATGAATGAGTTAAGCATTAATATTTATTATCTCAGGGTCTGACTTATTGTTGCTCAGGTCTGATTAAACTCTCTTTCGAGTTGTGTTCACAACTTGTTTGTGGCTAACTGGTAATAAAGTTATGCTATTTCTTTGAAGAAGATATAACTTGATTTACTCACAGCTATTACATATAAATAAATATAATCACCATAAAGCTTAACCCTATTGATAAAAAAGAAGAAAAAATCATAAAGGAACTTGAATTCCAATAAACTTGATGTTTACCACAGTTGTGTCCAAAACATTGCCTATTGTAAAGGATAAATCTAAATTTAAAAATGTAGTGCATTTAAGCCACAGTGGTTCTGATCATACCTTTTTGATTTGATTGAGCATGCCACATCTATGGAGAATCTCTAATCCCTGGAGAAGCTGCTTTTGTTCAAGGGTAACTTTATCATTTCTCAAAGAATCTTGCAGATTACTGAACACATCAGTTTGTGTACTACTTATAGCTTTCCTCAGCTCTGAATTAAATTCTGCTGTTTTGGATGATGGCAGTGACTGTTGTAATACTTTTAACAGTTCTATTAAATTCTTTGGAAGACAATCCAGAACTTCTGTAGTACATAAATCAAAGCCAAGACTGCATGGATGCATCACACAATCTATAATCAGCTGCCAAAGCTGTAGATTCAGCAGAGAACTGGGCAGACAGTGTGGTTCACTACTTTTCAGAATGGCTGATATCATGTCCAGCAGTCTTACAGTGACAGAGCACTTAGTTCTGTCAAAATTCTCTGCTTCCCAAGGAGTAATTGGAAGGTCATCAACTTCAGTGTCGGTACTCAACAAGCGAGTGACATGCCTAGCATCATGGTGACTCACATACTTTATGAAGTATGCTGCAGCTTCAAATATCCTGCATCATAAGATTGAGGTATCAATAATTATAGTTTCTGAAGAAGGAAGGAGCAGCAGTCATGTATTAGGGTAGAACGCATAAAATATGTATCTACTTATCTACCTTGTCTCTATGTTTTCATGGCTGGAGTTCATTGTATAACTTTGGCTTGTGGATGAAAGCAGCAGCTTTTGTCCAAAAGCCAAAGGTACACAAAATGTATATACCTGATTCTCTAAAGATTTGTGACATTACAAGAATGCAGTGTTGACTACTGTCCATTATCTGAGGTATATTTAATACATACTCAGCTCTATTTCCATCTGAGGTGATTGGTTATTGTACTGACATGTAATCTTTATTTAAACACTAGCTCCCTACCCCAGTAACTTGCCTAGGACAGAAAACAGTGAACTGAACAAAATATAGCCTTCTGCTCAATTTTTTCATAATTCATCACAGAACTCAGAAAGTCATAAACACTAATTCATGTTTTTTCTCAAATTAGGCACACATAGTTGTGTCTTTGTTTACCAGACATCTGGCATAAATCATAGTCTATGAAATGCAGAGAAAAGCCACATATGGACAAATACAAACAGAATACAAATGACTGGAATTATGATCCAAGCTGTACACTTACATCAATTCCAATTTTGGCCCTTAGAAAAATTGAAGCATTTGGTTTTTGTTGCAGAGTATACATAACAATATTGTGGATTTTATCCTGAATCTTTTTATAACATTCTTCACTTTGAATATTAAACATCTGAGTGTAATTAATGCATTTATTGTACCTTGCTTTACTCATATTGCCCAAGCTTTCAGTTTTCAGAAGTAGAGAAGGTCTCACTAGCCCCTCACCAAACAGCCATATGTAACAATCAAGACTGGTAAGAATCATATGTAGCCATCGTACCACGTGGGCAAGAGCTACTTCATTTCTAAAATCCTTCAGAGTAGGAGTGACGGCTATGCCTCCACTTTCAACACTGCCTTCACACACTTTTAGCAAAGACATCCAAGTGTGTGATGTGACATACCAAGTCACAAATTCACTTCCAGACCTACAATCTAAACAGGAATTCATACATAAACACATTATTTTAAAATGTATAAGATAATTTTCTTTCTTAACTCAGTCACTGGCATACATAACAGATCTTTGCAATACATCTTCAAAATAATTTTCTAATAATTTTTTATCATTCCTTTCCCTTAGTGTTTTAGCTTAGCTCTTTTACTGTTGTCAAATATGGAAGGAGCACAATGAATATTCAAAACTTTCAAGTGAAAAGTAAAATTAAACTCGAAATACTGTTATTCTTATAACACAATTTTTTTCATTCACAAATACCGCCTGCTTTTGAGCAAAAATGAAACTAATACAAATCTTTTTTTTACAGTCAGGTAAATACAGTATGTTAGCAGGTTATAGGCCTAAAAATCTGCAAGTACTGTATGTAATCAACTCAAGATACAGAAAGATTTATTTTCATAGTAAATAAGTGATTAATCTGCAACCTGAAGCCTTTACAGCAAGCATGACAAACAGAGGGACGAGTAAATGACCCATCGAGCCACTAGAAGTATTATGTCAAAGCTTACCTGGCAGCAGCTGTGCCAGTACATACACCAGTTCCATACACTTATGTCTGCATTCCACTTGAGTTGAACCACACTTCAATAGCAACCACGACACAGCATCTTTCAGCAAAATTCCCTCAAACTCTGGTGGCTTCCTACGACGCTTATCATCCTCCAAAAAAGAAGGTCAGTTTTAGATTGTATGAATTAACACCATTTCAGAAATTACTTGATCTACAGTTTAATTAAATTCATATTCATCTCCCACCAAAGTATTATAGTAAAATTTCACAATTATGAATATAATTTATCATTCTATAAATGTTCATTACATGAGATTTTACTGTATGACAGTACAGATCACATTTCAGGAAAAAATTTATAATGACTAGTCATTCCTTATGATAAAGATGGTTTAAAGGCACAAATAACTTTGGCAAATTAAGCAATTAAAAATAGCACCTCTAAACCTAAGAAACCTTGGAAGTAACCTAAAGCCAACAGCAATCAGTATTCAAGGACTAATTCAAATTCAACCACTGGACAACATTCCTCAGGATGTATTTTTAAAAGTAGAAACATCTTGGGGAGAAAAAGAGAACATTTTATCATAATTACTTTATTGAAGAGTGAGGCCTTTTCTTTCAGTACTCTTTCAATATGATTTAATGCTGTAACTACTTGTTCATGACTGCCAAGGATTGAATCTGTTTCTTCAGAAAGTGACAGGTTTACAACCATATGGTACAGCAGTTCCAGCCAGTACTCATTCACAACTGATTCCTTCTCTCGCAACACTGTGTAAACACTATTCAAAATCAAAGCTGCACCTGTAAAATGAAAGTAAACACTCACCATCAAAGGACTTAATCTTAATAAATAATAAATAAATAATCTTCATTAAATACAAAGAAATGGAAACAGGACAGCTGTAGACGTTTATACCATATGAATGAAATGCAACAGCATAAACAGAACCAATACAACACATCCAACATAAAAATTAGCTTATATATAAATGCATATATTTCTGAGTATGGGTAGGCATTTATTTTAGATTTTCCGATTTTTAAAAAGCTGCAAAATTAATAAAACAGACAATTTTTCACATTTAAAATATATTATATGTGTCTAGTTTCAGGAAGTGACAAATTCCATAAATCTAAGTCACTGACATTCTAATCATACACAACAATGTGTACAACTGTTGTTTTAACCAACCAAATAACTCCATGGGGCAGAGTCCTCCTTGAGATGCTGTTACTTTATTGCGGCTTTTTTTTAATTTACCTATAAAAATATAGGTTTTAAAGCCCTTAATATCATTCTGATACTTGGAAGTCACATATTTTAAGCCCAACTTCGTCTTATACCTTCTGTAAGTAATCATAAAACACACAACCATTTTCATGAATGATTTAACCGTATTTTCCAGTGGAATAAGAATTCACTCACCTAAGCGTTTTGAAGGGCATGGATGCAGGCAGAAAGAGTAAATTTGCTTCATTATGGCCTTAATATTCACATGTGAATCTTGCTTTACAGACCATACTACAAATTCATGAAGACATCTAGACGAAAAATCCCTCAATGCTGTGTCAGTTGAATGAGTTATTCCATCCTGCAGTTACAAAATAATGTAAGTAGCAATTGATTTATTCCAACACAAACATATCCAAATGAAATACAGGCTTTCAAGCAGACATAAAAGTAAAATTCAGGCATGCTGAGATTAAAATGTTTAAAAATATGACATCGACAGGAAGAACAGACTAAAGTTAATAATATGGATGTAGGAAAAGGGTAAAAGCTGTTAATTTAAAGACTGCTTTGGAAATCAATACGAACAGACGATGGTTTGGACAAATTAAAAAAAATACAAAGCTACAGAATCTCTAATGAGGAATTAAAAATAGAAAGAAAGGAAAGGAATTTACTGGGGCAACTAAGCTATCTATGGAAAGAGCAAAGGGAAAGGATATGCTGTGATAGAAGGAAGCAATAAGAATAGGATTTTATATTTTGAAATGGGAGAAAACATACTTTAGGGGAAACTTTTAACAAATAACAATTAAAACAAAACGTGTATTAGACTGACGTGACCAACGCTTATAAATATTGCTGTAATTAGGTATGTGTTTTAAATGGAACACCCTGAAGTAGTATTTATACTGGAAGCTTCAGTTTGAGAAAAATACTGAAGTTTACGCCAAACAATTGGATTCATCATCATGACAATATGCAAGTGCACAGTACTTTATGAATGATGACATTTCTGATAAACTTTTTATCATTTGGCTAATTCAACACCTACCCCCCTCCAACCCAATTCTCTGACTTGGTTCTTACTTCAAAAACTGTTTAACTGGACACCATTTGATTTGATGACACAAAAATATGGTGCCCTCTGTGTCTATACTCATGAAAGAATGCAATGACAAGTATGTGTCATGCATTCATCCTTAAAGTTCTGATTTATAAACTAGTAATTCAAACCTTTTTTGTACAAGCATGGTGTAACAAGATAACATTGTCAGACTGCACATGAATTCAATTTTGTTAAATTCATAAACATGTTAACTACAGATGAAAAAAAATAATGTGCACAATCATCATGAGGAAGCTACAGTATCAGTAATAATAATCATACCATGAGTGTTTGGATCAAGATTTCTGTTTCCTTGCTCTTCAGTTTGAATTTGCTGGAATACCAGTGCACAAGTTGTAGAACCAAGAGGTTGTACAACCTATGGATGGCTGGGTCTGGATCACATCCCAACTTCAGCAGTGGCAATGACAGCTTCTTAAACAGTTCAGAATATTTATCGGAAGTTTGGGCTCCCTGGCCTGAAAAATTGGAAGTTTACAAAGAGCGTCACTTTCCAAAGGCTTCATATATCTGGATGACTTCAAGGCACACTGATTTGACCATAATACTGTTGAAATATATTAATTTCAACCACAACTGCTTGTTACCATCCTTTTGAAGTGGTCTGTTATAGTGATGTCTAATTTGTTTTTGCTTTGCATATTCATTTAAAGGCATCCTTAAAGAAGCCAGGTAAGATAAAATAATGGATGATTAGTGGCGAAAACATTGTATATGCCCTACGGTTCTTCACGATCTCAAGAAACATGGAACCTGCAAGGTGCTCCTCTTGATACATTTTTATATCCTTAAAAAGCAACATTTATATATGTGTTGAGCATAGTTAAATGAAGGCATATGGTATTGTCCCATGCTTTATCCACCTTATCACTGGATATGCTCAGAGGTCTTTCAGGAATTCCCTGCGATGCTGTGCTGATTCAAAAACCATCCTGGATGGGATAGCGGAGTCTTGAAATCATAAAGTTCTCAATCACAAAAACTTCTCAGTGGAGAAATAATTTTCTTCTTGTAAGATCACAGCATACTTGCTCATAGGAAGTATTTTCCCACATTTTCAAAAACTGATGTGGTCATAAAAATTTAAAAAGTTTCCAGGTTTTTAATAATAAATATGTAAGAGAACTATTAAAATTTTAGACAATAATTTTCATCAAAAATGGTTGTGAGAAATTAAGGATTCCATTTAATCTGAATTCATTATTGCAAAGTGAATGTAATCTACTTACTACGGCCCAACATGAACATGATGATAGCATGCAGCAGTTCACAGGCCGTGAAACGAGTATAGCGATCACTTGATGTCAGTGCCAATTCCACCACTCGAGGAACCAACTTTTCTGCAAATATAGAGAGTCCATTCACAGATCAAAATATTTCATAAAAGAAAGTGACACTTCAGTTAGGCTGAAGAGGCCTTTGCCATAGCCGTTTATCATACAGTGTTGTACACAGTTTAGTAGTGTCTATTACTATTATACCATAGTGTAAAACTGTTACCAGTTTCAGCATACTTTAAAAATTGATAGAATTAAAATCTGCAAACTTTGAATCCCAAAAAGTACAGTATTTGTTGATTCAAATTTCTTAGTTATTTTGGTACCTCCAGTTAGAAGTACTAATACCACATTTCCTTGATTTTAAGACACCATCAATTGAAGATGCACCCTTGATTTAGTAATAGGTTTTCAGGAAAAAAGAATGTCTTATAATCAAAAGAAAACATGATATATATTTTGCACACAAATTCAAATTGACCCTTCATTTCTTAACTATAAAATTGGGGGGGGGGGATGCCTTTCAATCTTGTACTTTGTTTAGCCAATGTCTCATCTTTCTCTATAATGAGAAGCTGAAGGTTCAGAGAAGATTTAAGCACAGGCAATTATGTATTTATCCTTCAAGAAAGTTTTGTTTTTAAAAGATGTATGCCTTTTGAAAAGATGTGCTTCCCTTCTCAACAGGTTTTCCATGTATAATGAAAGCAGTGGTGACTGTACCTATGCCCATATGATAAGACTTTAACCATTACTTAAAAAGATGCACAAACCTAATTTAATGTCTAGCTTCATATCCTTGAAAGGCAAAGGAAATTCAAGCGGCTGCTCCAAACATTTAGCCCATGGGACACTGTCTTCTTCCTTCTGAGGCTCCTTCAAAAGTGCCAAGCATGTGGTACTGTCTAACTGACCAAGGAAACTGATTATATCATGCTGAAGCTGAGAAAGCTCTGAATCTGTACGTTCAGCATTTTTCCTGACTACTTTCCTGTTTTTACTGACGTTGGCTCGATTTCTTCTTCCAAGAGCCAGTAATTCCATTTCAATAATCATGTCTTCATCACTGCCCATACCTGTCAAATAAATGAACATCCTGAGATGAAAAGTGACTAATTCAGCAACAATAAAGTGCCACTTTAAAAATAATAACACATTACAAATAAAACAATGTAAAATCACCATATTAAAAATCAATAATGTTTATTAACATGATGAAGCACATCTCAGCCAAGTTTGTTCACAACTGCTGATAGGAGCAGAAAGAAACTGCTTTTCTGAGGTTTCTATTATGCCTGAATGTGCAGAAACCAAGGAAAGCATTCCCTGTGAGTGTGGCAAAGTCTGCATTGGGGAGACTGGCCATTCTATCAAGACTTGGGTCAACGAGCACCAGTGCCACATCCGGCTCGAGCAACCTGATAAATCTGCCTTGGCTGAACACAGCATCAACCTGGGCCACCGCATCCAACTCCAGGACACCTCTATCCTGTCCACAAAATCGAGATACATGGACTGGATAATCAGGGAACTTAAATATACCGTGAAAGACAAAGACCAGATGATGTGGAAACAACTGAACATAAGTCAATGGAACAGCTGTTAGCAATGTCAAAAACTGAGTCTGAGAGGTGCTTTGGGAACTGCCAGGAATGATCAAACAAGACATAGGAACCTACTTTGAACAGTATTAACCTCAAATCCCTACAAGTATGGTACCTTAGTTTTCACATATTCAGTCTCAGTACTTTGTGATCAGATCTGCAACTGCATCACCAGGATTTTCTTTTCTCATTAGCTCACAAAAAGACTTACAAGTGACCAGAGGAACAAATTAGATGTTCACTTTTTTAAAAAATAATATTGTTTTGAAAGTATGATAACATAACAGCTCTGAAGAATTAATAATCAGATACAACCAATAAGTTGAAATTTACTGACTGGCAGAATTTAGCTATAAAGAGGTGGTACAAAGAAGAACATTAAACTATGTCAAAAAATGTTCTAACCTCCAGTCTATTTTATTAAATTACCTTTGCTCCGTAAGAATGGATCAAGATGGGGCAAAACCTGCACAAGAAGTGGCTTCATCAAATGTGATGGTAATGTACTGTACCACTTATCCAAAGCAGAAATACCAAGGCGAGCTAGAGGTAACATACTTCGACCCACTCGGAATATTGCCTATGAATGAAGAAGCATATTTCATCACATGTCTTACAAACTGTTCTACAAAAAAGAGAAGAAACTCTACCAAAATGGAATAATCCCTTATTTCCATTGTTCCAATGCCAAGGCAAAGGACATTCAAATAATCAACAATTTCTTTCATCTTAAGTCATCAGGACTGAACTCAATGCAATAACAGCAACACTGTCACAGATCAGTAACATATAATTTTATATAAAATAACAACAAAACTACAAATTTAATACCTCAAAAGCTGGCGCTGCATGTGGTAGCAGAGGCACAATCAAAACTGTTGGAGCAGCTATCACAGTCTGAAGACAAGCCACTTGCAAATCATTCTTGTACTGCTGTAGTCGAATCAACAGTTCCTGAAGGAACCTGCACAAAAGTGTGTAACATGCTCTTTGTTCATTGGTCTGGCTCTGCATATCTTTACAGTCCTATGAACACATCACAAAGCAGTTAATCACAGGTTACAATTAACCAATAACCCTTTAATAGATACCAAGGGAACAAAATTATTAATACTGAAGCTTGCCATTAGAAAATTATTCAAAACCAGTTCATATCAAAACAATCTATTTCCATAAGACCCATTTTAATAGCACCCTTCCACCTCTTCCTCCATCTTCCATGTGGTCACTTACAAAAGGATTCTCCACCAACAATCCATATACATTTCTTTGCTTCCCCATCAAATCTTACATATATTCACATTCATTACACAAAATATTTATTGTAGTTCTATTATTTAATTTAATTTTCTTACAAATAAGCCACAACCTTAACAAACAGAACACAATGAATAATAATAATAATAATATGTCTGGACCTGAAATAATTAAATTACTATTTTATGAAAATATTATGTTCAGAATTATTTGTTAAAATTTAACAATAAACAGCTGGCTTATTAAATGACAAGCTAATACAATACTTACATCAAAATAATGAAGCCTGTCACAAAGCTGCAGAGCCATAGTCAGCAACTTATAAAAGCCACTGACTAAAGGTTTATGAGAAGATTCAGAAATAACTTGGTAACAGAAAGGCTGAATCCATTTCTCAAACTGCACACAATCAGCACTTATCAACACATCTCTCATCAGATCCACCAAGTTGATAAAGACTTGAAAATCTTTGCAATTGTTAGCTTGAAGTCCAGACTCTGGATCAAGGACTGGAACGTCTTCTTCACCAGACCTGTCTGATGTCTGAAATAGGATTGAAATGCACCACATACAGTATTATTGGCATAAATCAACACTGTAAGCAAATATGATCCATACTGAGCATGTTATTTTTCAAGAGTCAAAATAATCACTTTTATCTGACCATCACATGCGCATTTCTCTGAAATTTTTGTTACAAAAATTAGGATTCATATAACATCCTAAGATTTTGGTACCCTGAATCTTCATTTAAGTTATTAGTTTTCAGAACTGACCATATATCGCAGTGTAAACCACAGCACACAATCCGTACAACAAAAATGTCTTGCAAGTTATTTTTCGTTGCAGGTTTCAAGTAAATAACAAGAGTGACGCAATACTATCAGCAACATTCAGCACCAAGAAAGAAATCAAAGACGAAACACTAGAAGATCAAAGATAAATTAAAGACCGTAAGTTTATGCCTCTCAATTGTAATTAAACTTACACTTAAAGCTTCTATATTTATTTTTTTCCTGATGCTTAGGTCCAACTTCTTCAGCAATGCAAGGACAGTCCTAATAAGCTCATCATACACTTTGATAACTATCAACTGTGTCTGTGCCAGTGAAGTACCTGTTCCAGACACAAAAATAAAGTGCATTTCATGGCAGAGCAAAAACATTTTATACTAGAAAACTGCGTTATTATACTTCCTGTTAACATTAATAACTTATTCTAAGCAACCAAAAATTAATTTTCTTTTTCACTTCACGGATTAGGCTAAAGCCTGTTCCGCGGACAGTTGATCAAGTAAACTTGTCATATGTTAGCCTCTTTTAAGGCTTTAGAGTAGTAGGTGGCAAGCCTGCTGCCTCTGCACAATTTCAGTTCAATCCTAATTCGACTGCCAGAATGAATTTTCAAAATTAATAATTCTTCATTATACTTTTTTATTTATATACCAATATGTACATATTCCTTGATGGCTAAATGTTTCTAACCAACAATTCCAAACTTTGCTATACCAGATATAATTCCACAGAAATTATATTATTCAGAAGGTGCTTTATAACCCACATACAATATTTCTCATATGTTGGTTTCTTGATTCAGTGAGTAATTCCATTAATTTTAAGAGCTTTCAGATGGAATCGATGTCTGAATTTTAAGTACACATAAAAACGATTACAAAACTGGTACCAAAACAAATGTAAAATTCTGAAAAAGTGATATCAATTTAAATTCTGGACCAATTCTGTGGACATTATCCTCTATTTTGTACTTCCTAACATTATCACATGACAAAAATTGAAGAAAATGAAAAGTTTCTTTTTATCAGACTTTTCAAAAAATATAACAATCTGTAACATTCATTTTGCTTAGAAAACATGTTTCAACTTACTTTTTCCTTGAAATTTTTGAACACTCAGTAATGCCATCCATAGTGGTATATAGTCTCTGTATGTAATGGGATTTCTCTGGAATTGGCCCTTTTGAAGTTCCACATCAATAGTAATTTGGTGTTTACACGAACGGATCACTCCTTGATATACTATAAAAAATCAATTTAATTAATGCATAAAATTAAAATATGGTGTTTATATGAATAAATATGGTTTGACCTGTACAGGTGTCTCCACAAACATTAAATTAATAACACATCCATGCACAAAGTGACTATCAAGTTTACAGATTCAAGTAAGTGTTCTGTTCAAAACAGACACCTACACAGCTGTTAACAAAAGTATGGTGTCGCAACTCTGGAAGTTCATGCTGTGTTCAACATGTGGTTTCAAACATATATATATATATGTGTGTGTGTGTGTGTGTGTGTGTGTGTATATATATATATATATATATATACACACACACACACATATATATATATATATATACATGATAGAATCAGTTCATTAGCTTGACTCTGCCATTAAAGTAGTTCCTTTCAACTGTCATGCATTTCTGTAAGTGGCCATATCACTATTGGAACACTCCTTCAGGCTGCTTCCTGTGACCTCCTTAATTGCTACCATCATGGCTTCTTCCAACATTTCTGCCAAGTGAAGCCTGTGTCCCTACATGAGGACTTGTAATTTTTGGGGCTTGGCAGTTATCCGTAGGACCTAGATCTGAGGAAAGTGATGCTGTGCAGGCACAGAAGTACCATTCGTCACCAGATACTCCTGTACCAAAAGAGACCAATGAGCTGGCACAGTGTAGCAATTAATTTCCAAATCCCCAAAGATGGGAGCATTTATGGTGGAATAATTCTCATAGACAGCACAGCATGCCTCTGTATATAGTCTTGTTGATGTAATATGAATTTCCAGAATAAAATTGTGGTGAACAATGCTCTGGCCATCCAGAAACACCTCCAGTAGTGTCTTTCTGAGTGGTCTGCTTACAACGCCTGCTTTCTGGATAATTAGGACAGCATCCACTATGTGGCTTGATATTTGTAAAGTACAAAATTTACCTTTCCTGCCTCCTGAAATGGAAGTGAGAATAATAAGTATCTACTTACCCATATTTGAAAGGAAGTCATCGAGATAAGTGCCACCACATTCTGCAAGATTGCACAGCGTAACAATAATGGCACGAATGGCAAGCCAGTGAAAAGGTTTGGGCAACTTGGGGAAGTTCTCAATGAGCAGCACAGTGAGGTACTGCAAAGCTACCAACCGTTCATTTGTCACATTCATCAGCTGCATTATTATACTCGACAAAGATTCAATGTAATGTGGGAGATTCTGGAGATCCATATTACTTACATCCTCTTCCCTGGAATAAGACATAACACTCAGAAACAAGCAGTCAGTAAGTCAAGAAATTTCCACATGTAGACACAATTTAAATAATAATTACAGTACCTGCAGTCAAGAAAAAATGACAAAGATATTGGATACAAAGATTTTTAAAATAAATTATTTTGGGAAATGACTCCATTACTATAGACTTCTGTTTTACAGATATATCCTCTGTGTATTGATTCTAATATACTACACACTTCAATGTAAAACTGTCTCTTTTCCCAAAACACAGCAGAAGTTCCTTATTTAGGGCCACACATGTTAAATAAACACAGCTTTTACAAGACACAGAGCACTTACTTGAAGTATATTTGTTCTGCACGTTGCATTACCACAGTGAACATTTGTACTACATCCTGTGAGTCCATAAAAATATGACAAGGAGCAGCAAATAGGCCAAAAGCTTTTATGGCAAGCTTTATGTCATAGGATGATGTACCCCTGTTTAACATCTCCTTGAAGGAAGTAATGAAGTACTGAAATTAAAGAAAAGGATATTAAGGGAATGCAAAAATCTGTGATATGAGGTTCTCATGGTATCACAACTAATAACTACAGTGTCATGCAAATGAACATACATAAATTATATTTAAAAGTGCATCCACTTAAAATTAATCTCCCCTAATCAGATTGGCCTTCAATATTAACATAACATGATTTTGTGTGTGCTTAGTAATATTACATCACTCTGTATACCAGGGGACATGATCATATAGATAAACTGCTATGAGTGTGAGCATGGCCTTCAGCTTCATGAACAGAGCTGTAGTGTCTAACTAATGAGCACAATGCATTTTCAGCTTCTATGTACAAAGGAGGGGTCCACAGTGGCCGCGCGGTCTGAGGCGTGGGCCTTGTGCCACTCGGTCACTAGGACCGTGGGTTCGAATCCCACTCAAGCCATGGATGTTTGTCTGCATTTTTCTGTGTTGTGCTGTCCTGTGTACAGGTAGATGCCTTGTGACGGGTCGATCCCTCATCCGTGTGATCCTACCGAATGTCCATAGATCAAGCCAACGAAAAGTTGGGACCCGCAGTGCTCAGGCACTTGAAGAACGGGTCATTCCCAGTATCGCAGTATGTACAAAGGATTGTCTTACAGTGATACACCTATACCAAGATCTGGTGTACAACATTGGTATACTTTTTTCAGCAGTCTCAAAGATTGTGTCAGAGAAGTATCTGACTAAAAATTAAATTAATTTGAAAAGTCGGATATTTTTTAGCTACTACAACAAAGTTCAAAACATGAGTCTCTGAATTTCATTATGAAGAGATTCTACAAAGGTACTAACCAAAAATACACTTCGCCCTGTTTCTGATTTGTTGTCCTTAAGAATTAAGGCTATTTGATTGTAGAACATATCAAGAGCTCCAACACCAGCTTTGTGATCTTCTCCAGCTGACTGCACCCATGTCTGAAGAAATTCATGCCAAAATTTGTACTTATCATATAAAAATTTGGCCAGCTGACATCCATGTGCTTGAATCAATCCCAAGGCAGCTGTAACATATATAAATCACACAAGACTTTCTTTCACATGTTTTGATAAAACCTGGATTTTGTAAAAAAAAAACAGCGAATTACAGAAAAGGAGGTGGTGCTTACACTACACTAAGCATGCGACAGTTCAACAAGAACAAATACACACAAACAAATTCCAAACCCTGTATTACTCCTTGTACCAGTATTATTATACATTTACATACCCCTTGGTGCAACTCTCATTTCCCCATGTTTCTGAGCCACTGCAGTCATGCAATCATAGATCTTCTTACCCTCCTTTTCCTCAGGATTTAATGGGAATACATACAAGAATTCTGTTAGCCCACTTAAACATCCTGCAATTATTTGATATTTGACAGCACTTGCAAGACGTGTCTGTAATTACAAAAAGAAATGTATGAAACTAAAAATATGCACTCTATCAGAGCTACTTGGAAATAAGTGTGTGGGTATGTATTAATATAAATGTATACTTCAAAAGATACCATGTATAAACCTCATCACATCCTCTCTCTCTCCCTCCTTTTTTTTTTGAGATAGAGAGAGAACAGGAAATCCAGGGCACTGTACAGTAACTTATGATACATTTAATCAAAACTATTAGAAACACATTAAAAAATCATATTGTGTCCATCTTCATGTGAAAAGTTGTAAATTTTTAAACTATGAAGTTCATAATCATAATATATGTGTACAGGTCAAAAAAGTAAATAAATACAAACACTAGAATGATCAGTTCATACATACACACATACATGGCACTCAAAGAAGAAAAAAAAATATATATATAACACACATTAAATTGTATTTTTCATTATTGTAATAGATTCTGTAAACTTCATGTGGTAAAACAAGCTAGAAAATGCATGCACAACATAACAATTCTGGTATGTTTGACAGAATATAATCTTTGCAAACGGTGCCTGTGGTATCAGTGCTGTATTGTGTGGCCACAGATCCCCAAGATAATTATGTTAACCAAGGCCCCTTAATGGTACCTGCACCTTGTCATGGTAGTGGGGCTTGAGTACCTCAGTGGCGGTAGCGTAGCTACTGGTAGGGCCTCCCTAGGAGGAGAGGTCAGACTAAGACAGGTACCCTGTACAAATATAAATAAAACGTCCTCTTCTAAACACATTTCCACTTTATGTTGGTTGTCTGAAATCAAACATGTAATGTAAACTTACCTGCATTTCCAGTTGACTCAGATATATTCTGAGCAGAAGACTTGTTTCCTCTCGTTTTAAGCATTCTGGATATCTACGTACAATTACACCCAGTATATGAAGATGTTTCTGTATGACTGAAAGAATTAATTTCAGAATATTGTAATTGCTTGTATAAATTTTATTTTACCTGTTAGGTGGAGTTACTTCTTAGCACTTAATAATCCAGAGTAGTCAGGAAACACTATGATTGGAAAAAGCATGTAAAAAGTTTTGGAAAGCAAACACAACATATTAGAATTTCACATTTTCATCACCCGTGACTTCACACTTCCACAGTGTTCCCACTCATTCATATATGTATACTTCAACGATCTGCAATTTGTAGTCTTGCGTCTTGTCAACAGGCTGTGACCAACAATTATTATTTCTTTGTACTCTTTTTCAGAATATGTAGATATGCCTGTGTCTGATATAACATTGTTTGAAATTCTGCCTGCATCATGCATCGTTTTATCAACTGGAGGAATACCACTTCTGCAAATTTAATACTTTGTAAGTTTTTCTTAATATACATCATTCACTCCCAGGTAAGTCACCAGTGTAATATTTTGTTGTTTCCTACAGGAACTACCACAAACAACATTCTATCATAAAATTTTGTGTTCAACTTGCTACCATGCAAAAATTGTATAGTTGGCCTAATTATATGCTAAAGTCAAAAAATTCCAAGACTTGACCCTAACACAGCCACACTCAAAGTACTCTCCTTGACCTAAAGTGCCCAGAATGACAAGCTGTGAAAATTAACTGTGTCTAGGTCATGCCTGGTTGGGTTTTTTTAAAAAAAAAGTGTTAACCACTTGTTTCTAGAGACATTTACCAAACTAATAGTTTGTTTCAGTGTCATTAAGTAACTACCTTTAGCTGGCATTACATTGCTTTTGTTATTCTTGAATGGGTCAATCAGCTTGTCGAAGAGTTCATTTACATTTAGATCATCACTCCATGGTCCATTTTCCAGGATAGATTGCAACACATCAAATGCTTTATCTTTTTCTTCTGCTTTTTTATCCAGTAATATGCAAGTCTTGCATAAATCCTATCATAATAAAGCACACGAAAGGACTATTAGCTTAACAAGCATCTAATCATACATGGTTTTATAATTAGATAGCACTCCTGCCTAACAATACTGAAGAAGTCCCTGGGCTAGGAGACAGCTACTCTGACTGAAAGTTTTGTGGTTTCTCTCAATCCTATTACAGAAATACCACAATAGTATTTTAAAACAGGCTATGAATGTTTCTTCCCACTTCATTCACAGTCATCCTGACACTTCTTATTCAGAGCTGCGACTCGTAATAATTTACGAGATTATGAATACAGGCATGAATTGATAATTTATAAGTACACATTATCAGAACTAGAACACAGTATAAAATAATCAGAAGAAACAAAAACAAATATTATCAAAAGTCACATTATCAGTGTAAGAAGATAGGTATGTGTTTAAGGAAAACTATAAAAGCAGGCAAGTAATCAAAACACAAATTAATATGAAGGAAACGCTCCTTATGCATACAGATGACAGTGAAGAGATTGTAACTTGGGCAAACTGTAATTATTATTTGTAATATAACTTTTATTCAGTGAAGTTTATGAACTGAACTGTGTGACATATGTCAAAAATATGTATGAAGACAAATGGTGAGTCACAACCTCTCACACATCCTTAACAATTTGGTTAATCAAGTCATTATTTTGATAAAGTAACAGCATACACAATGAAGTGTAACTGTTGTACCTTAATTCGGAGAACATGGCATGACATTCTTTCTTTGAAGAAATCAATTAACTCTTTGAGCAATAGAAATGATTCCTTGATGGAAACAACGAAGGAATCTTGTTTCATTGCTCTCTGAATAAATGGTAGAATTCCTGTCTTCTTGTCAAACAAAGTTGCAAATGCTCCATCTGAAAAAGAATTACACTGATGAGTTTAAGCAAATTTTTGTAATTTTCTTAAGAGCTCACTACTAAAGAACAGTTAAAAGAATACACAACCAACAGACCACAAAATCAGAAGCATTTTTTAAAATAACAATGATAAATGCAACCTTTTAAAATTATAGTTTCCCTATAGTTATGGTGTGTCCACAGTGGCTGCGCGGTCTGAGACGTGGGCCTTGTGCCGCTTGGTCACTGGGACCGTGGGTTCGAATCCCACTCAAACTATGGATGTTTGTCTGCGTTTTTCCGTGTTGTGCTGTCCTGTGTACAGGTAGAGGCCTTGTGATGGGCCAATCCCTCGTCCAAGGAGTCCTACCGAATATCCATAGATCAAGCCAACAAAAAGTTGGGACCCGCAGTGCTCAGGCACTTGAAGAACTGGTCTTTCCTAATGTCCCAGTATAGTTATGGCAGATGAAGAAACAAAACATTGAAATGTGAAAATATGATCAGGTAATGTAAAACTAATTCATTGCGCTATGACATGATGATGTTTAGTGGAGTGGAGGCACAGGTCTGCATATTCTTAACATCAGCACATAACAGAGGTAAATTGTCAGTGTTACTCTCAGGTTGCCCTACCGCAGAGAAAGATCTCTTGTTACTCATTCAGCAGGGACCTGGGAGAGACCCGGAGCTGGTCTGGATGTAGTGGCAAAGGGAAAAATTCTTTCCCTTTAGTCATGCTGTTAATCAGCAATGAACAAACTATGACAATGATCATACTGTGTTGATGTCAACTGGTTAGCATGCCTGCTTCAGATTTGAGAGGTCCTGGATTCAAATATTGGCCGCCCTTTCTGTGGTTTTTCATTGGTTTTCCTCAGCTTCTACATGCAAATTGTAGGATAGTACTTTAAATTATGCGTCATTAAAAAAAGTTGTGCGTGCATACGCGTTATAGCTGTATGAGCTTTTACAATTGGTTTTACCCCTTGCACGATGGGCCCGTCGCAGGACCTCTACCTACAGAGGGTGGCAATAAGACACAAAGACAAGATGCCTCGGGTGTGATTTGAACCCACGATCCGTGTTCGGGCGATCAAGTACTACGCCTTAAACCGCGCGACCACTGTGACTGCATAAATCAGAAACAAAATTAAATAGGTCATATCTGAACACAACTCTGCTACTGATTTTCCTGGCATTTAACTATGGTAAGTTTCACACAAATTCAATCCGTTCACACTCACCCAAATCCGTCCTCGTTCGCTCAACTTCAAAATATCCTCTAATATTAGTGACATTTCTTTTAGCCTCGCTGTCTTTAATCAGATAACTTCCAGAAATGCAGCCGTTTAGAGCTTCTACAAAATTAATCAATTCACTTCCCATCATGGAGCACCACTTCCAAATTGTTCACTCACACATCGTTACCGGTATTTGCGCCATTCCGTTATTGGAATCCTACCCATTAGACTATACGTCAAACAGGGGGGGGGGGGGGGGGGGGGGGCCGACAATAACACGTTCGGTAATTTTCAATGGGCTTTGCAGTTCTTGATTCTAGTGGATGCAGACCAGAGAAATTATTCTTTGGCCCCGACATCTACAAGCTTCTCTTCGCTGCTGGACCATTTCAGTTACTGACATGGTTAACGAGGCGTAGCGCGCGAACGACTATGCCCCTGCAAGTGCACCGAAATTGAGAAGTCCCTTGGAGGTTCCTTAGGACATCAAGGGACTTCAGGTTACCAAGGATCCAAACCCGAACAGGGTTTTGAGACATCTACCTAAGCCGCGACAACCTTTCTCACGAAAGTGTGAAACTCAATCCTCCGCAGGCAGTACCTTCCGCCAGAATGGAAACACGCTCGCATGGTATCCATTAAATCTGGGGAAGGACCACATGCTGCTTCTTCCCACAGACCCATCAGTCTTCTTTGTTAAGGCCGCGAGACGCGGTATCTTGGGGTGACCCTTGACACCTTTCTTACCCGTTCGGCGCACGTCTGCCAGGTGGGAGTGAAGACAGATCAACGATTAGGCGTGCTTGGCCTTCTACTTAACAGGAGAGGCGGCCTGTCCGTAAGAAACGGTGTGGCTGCACTTCAAGCAGCTCAACCGACCTATAATGGACTACGTATGCCCGATCTGGAGGTCAGCTGCCTACAGCCATGTGCGAAAGCTGAGAGTGTTATAATCCAAGTGTCTTCGCAATGCGACTAGCGCGCCTCGGTACGTTATTAACAGGCAAATTGACAAGGATTTTGGGATTACATTCTTCGCCGACAACGTCAGAGCTCTCAAGCTTCGACTCAAAGTTAGCTGATATGCGGGGAACCCCTAATTCGGCTACTTGGACGGCAATTGTGCCGACCAAGGGCTGACTGAAGTCGCCCCATGGGCAATAAAAGGGGGGCTGATATTCAGCAGGCCACCCGATTCTGTCCCTGAAAAGACGGTCATGTCGGCGCATCGAGTGGTCTAACTGCTCTGCTACGGTTACCCTGTCTGAGGTTTTCCGTGCTCTTCCTCAGTTGTAAGTCAAATGCCAGGATATAAGTCAAAAGGGGCACATTCTTCAGCTGAAGTGAGGGGAACATATAAACTCGACATCTATCCGCATTGGACAAGAATTACTTGAAAAAGAGTTTGAAGTACACGCTATGCAAAAAGAGATGTCGCCAGTCGCCAAGAACTTCACTGTGCGACGTATGTCAACATAGTATAGTTAGTATTGTAGTTATGAAGTTGTCTTCAGATCATTCGTGATGTCGTAGTGTATGTGTATGAGTGTGAGCGATATTTAATATGGATGAGATAGGTGACAAGTTTTGTTATGTTTATAGCTCTTCTCTGGAGACAAGAATACAGATTAAAATGTAAGGGCACTTAACCATTGCTTTAATTTAAATATGTTTTGTAACCGATGTTTCTTCGTTTTCGAGGTGCATATAATTTCGTTCTGGCCTGACGCTCTGTTTTGAAATGCTACATAATTTCGTAAGATTTCAGGTTTTCACGGCGTCGAGAATGAAGATCTGGAATGTTCTCCGTGTAATCTGGTAGAAATTTATTAACGTTTCGTAGGTACCATCGCCCTGATGATGGAGGCAGCAGGCATCTCTGAAGCATGAAGTTGAATATTTTGCTTCCAATATCACACTTTTTTCTTTACATCAGTAGTATTTCTTATGGGGTGAGATTAGTACATTAAAAGTAAATTATTTTGATGAATGGTACTCTTTCATATCGTACTTTATTTGGTAGAGGAAAGCAATAAGATGCGACTTGATTGATGGGGGCAAATTGTGATGCAGTTCACATTTAGTAATTGTAAAGTTAGGAAATTACTTAAGCAATAAAGCACACAAATTATATTTTTTTATACAGAAATTGAATGTTAGAAAGCAATTATGTAGAAATTCAAGTTAGAATCCTGAAGAATTTTGAAGAAAATGAAGGTAATGAAAGCAACATTAATAATGAACAGGAAATTATCTGTGAAGGTGAAACAAGAATTTGAGCACTGTTACTCATCTGGGGTAAAATAACAAGGGAAAATGCACTTATTTTTGAACAAAATTAAAAAATAAAGTAATAAATATTTAAGGTATATCTAAGACATTGTGATGAATTACATATGGCTTGCTTCTGCAGTGGTTTTGTCATCTGCTCAGTTAGCAGATGGATGTCTGTTATGCTAATAGCTTTTAAACAGTGTATATATTTTGTTTATTTACACACAATATTATATTTTCTGAAGAAGTATAAGTTTGACAAGATGTATTCACACTCATTTTACTTCCACAGAGGAACGCTAGAAGGAAAGCAGCAGAAACCAGATTATGGCAAGCTTCTTTCTAATCCCATGCTCAAATTTTCTGGGCTATACCAGGATGAGTTTGCAGATTTGATGGTGGTCTGTCAAGTGTTCTCTGATGGCCGGCCTCTGGCCCTTCCAGTTTCCACTTCTTATAAGGCTTTCACTACAAGATGGAAGTAAGTGCAAGATTTCTTTGCAGTTATTAATGTAACATCTGTCATTGATGTAGAGAATTTTGAATGTTTAAGGATGCTTGGTGGGTATAACATGTTTTAGATTTCTAGACAGGTGGAATACTGTTCTTAGTCATATCTCTGTTAGGAGAGGTAAGCTGGCCATGTGAAGTTAAAAAATGTGCAGTGATTTTCTGTAGTACAGTTTGTGGTTTCCGTTTTGTTCACTACTTGGAAACAAGTTGTATGTTAGGTTTTAGATTTAATATTGGTTATTTATAATGCTGTTATGACGGACGCCCCAAACACTGTAATTCTTTCAGGCAGAACGTAGGTATGTCGGTTGATATCTCTTGGCATGTGTAACTTAACAGGCCAAGTATGAGAAAACCAGAAGTGTTTACAGAATTGGTAGTTGCGTTCTGTAATAATTGGAATGTGTGTGATAACTATGTAATGAAATAGTAAAAGACAAAGTGTGTTTGGTGTTAGAAGGTTCCCTTTGATTATGTTTAGACCAGGCTCTGTGTTGGGTGTAGCTCTGTTTAAATGGTAAAGATTACAGACGTGGTAGGAACTGCTATCAGATTACTTATAGCATGGAAGATGGAAAGTTAGTAATCTTTTACCATTTTCATCTGGTGCTGTATCCAGACATTGTTCTTTGCAACCTGATATCTGGCAGTAGCCTATCAGCTTCACATTGAGGGATGTACCACAAAGTGTCTGCACCCTGTGTCACTTCACAGGAACTACTGTGAGATTAAATTTAGTTATCCTTACAAGGTTTACTGAACCAATGTTTTGTGTCTCTAAATGCAGTTGGAATGAATGGGTGACACTGCCTGTGATGTTCAGTGACCTACCCCGCAATGCTCAGTTGGCACTGACTATTTGTGATGCAGTAGGTCCTTCTAAAGTCCAACCTGTTGGAGGAACCACTATTTCCTTATTTGGCAAGCATGGTGTGTTTAGACAGGTATTGTATTGCTTCACATCATGTAAATAATACGTGGGAGGTTGTCTGGAAAGATTCTTACAGGGTATACTATTGATTCAGGAAGATATGCCTACAAAATTTTAGTGAACATTATGCATTGCTACCTTAACACAAGTAAATTAAACATTGAGTGACATCAGAGTTGTACACTAAGGAAGAAGAATTAGCGTGGAAAAGACCATGGTTTTGGAGAACCCAAATATTTGCATACTAAACTAAGGCCAAGAAATATCAAAAGAAGTTGACACTTTTAGTTATCCGGGAAGTGAAAAAGTAAAAGTGGCTACATTCAGAATTTAATTAATGAATTAATTTGGAATACCCCATAACTCTTGTGTGGCATAAAGATATACCAGAAATATGTCATAGAATATGTTTTAAGGTATGTTTTGTATAACTTATAACTTATGTAGATGAAATATACACTTTTGCTAAGAAAGAGAAGGGGTAAAAATCATAACTGATATGAAGCGTAGTAAAAGAAATTAAGAGGCAGAGTTAAAAGTGAGGAGGTATGGAGTGTGTTGAAACAATTGAAAAAATTGAAGTGTTTCTGTTCTGGGAACAAGGCAAAATGGATTTCAGTGGGAAAATTTGCAGTAGTTGATCCATGAAACAGGGACATAATTTAAATAAGAGCAACAGTTAAGATTTCACTAGATGAAATTTTATAAAATTTATTAATAGACTCAAACTAAGGAACAATTAAAGGTGAAATTTATTTCCATACTTATTGTGTGTGAAATATTTTCAACATATATAGAAATTATAAAATGAATAATGTAATAGAGTAGAGTGATCTTTAAGTACTTAGAAAATGAGGAGAGAAAAGAATGCTTTGTAAAAGTGTGCTTGGATATAAAATAATAGTTGAATATGGAATACTGTGGGATTCAAACTTGTTTGTTCAAAGAATTCTCATTGTGAACTAAGTATTAGTGTGAACAATGAAAAGAAACAAAAAAGTGTATGTATTTTCTAACTAATCTAAGTGACAGAATTGTAACTATGTCCCAGGGAATGTTGGATCTCCGAGTGTGGCCCAAGCAAGAAGCTGATGGCAGTTTTCCTAGTAGTACTCCTGGCAAAGCAAGGGATCATGGCAGGGAACAAATGCAGAGGCTTGCTAAGGTACATTTTTCACTACAGTGCAGTGTTTTAACATTACAATTTTCAATGCTGTGGTATGGTTTTTATTCTGGCAAGGTTTGTGGTCTGATTACTGTTTCCATCTGGTGGATGTATATTTGAGAATGATATGTAGGTGACAGACTGATACGAGATTGATGACTTGATGTGTGATATGTTCATGTATTTTTTGTCATGTTTCTGTATTGTGACTAAATGAGAGAGAAAAGGTCTACTTCAGTCTGGAGTAAAGCTTTTCTAAGTGTATGTATTTGAACTTGGTTTGATACAGACAAAAATTAAACTTTTATCAAACTCAATACAGTAGTTTTGGAAATGCCCTGCGTGGATTGACAGACAGACAGACAGACAGGCAAACATACATGATATTCTTGTTTGCTCTTTTTATGAATTTGTGCAGTGAGAGCACAGAAGATGTCATATACGGAAAGCTTGTTATTTAAATATGACACATGCTCCTTTGGATTGTAGCAGTAGTTCAGGGTATGTGTTATGTTAATGAAGTATTACAGAGTGAGTAATAAAATTAATAGCAAACACTATACACGGCTGATTCATGATTATAATTGTTATTTTCTCTCATTTGAAGTAGATATGATGTGTAAATAGTTGGCTGTGAAGTGTCTTCTGTCTAGAGTATAAGTATTATACATGGCAAGTGCCAATTTCTTGGTATCTTCATGAAAAATTCACATCGAGGAAGGTGTTTTCAATGTTTTTCCATTTTTCTAACTATAATTTCTGGCATTTATTATATTCTTTATTAATATTATCAAATATGAAGGACCTTGGGAGTTTATTCATGTGAAATAACACTGAGAAATCATCAGTTCAGTCATTTGTTGGTCATAATGTGTTTTTACTTTTCCACTGTTGTGAATCTATGATAACATCATGCGTCAGTCTTTGTACTTTTCTACAAACACTGTTAACAACTGTCATTCTTTCCAGTTATCAAAGAAACATCGTAATGGCCACATAGCCAAAGTGGATTGGTTGGACCGTTTGACATTCCGTGAGATTGAGATGATCAATGAAAAAGAGAAACGAAATTCAGACTACATGTACCTGATGATAGAATTTACATCAATTGAGTTGGAAGGGATACCAGTAAGTTTGTGAGCACTAGAAATTGTGAAAATCAATTTTGTACTAATAGCTGTACTGTCTGCGTCTAAAGACGGTAATGGAGGGACAGAACTGATCAACCTGGACATACAGTGAGTCATGAAAGAAGCCTTCTTAACCTCTTTTATACTTCAGGGAAAAGTTTAGAATTTGTCTTCATGGGATCCATTAAAAATAAGTGAAGATGAATGTGAAGAATACTGGCCACTGTGATTTCAGGTTGTTGGTCTTCTGTGGCAGTGATCTTATCACCACCCTGCCATTAGACATATGCACGCATGTGTGCATGTAATATCTTTCTTTTCTCTGCAGTTATACGAGTAGCATTGAAATCATTTATAGACTTTCACTACTATTAATTTTTATATGTATTGTGCTTGCAGCATTCTATAGTATTCTATGAACAGGATGGTATTGAAGCGTATCAGTTTCGACGTCAAGCTGATCTCGTTAGAGTTCCCGATCATGAAATACTACAGGTAATTATTAGTTGATTGTGTAAGGATCACATTGCTTTCTGTTTATTCTAAATATTTCATTCTCATGTTTTGAGTGAATATTGCCCTTCAAATTTGTTTGCGGTTAGTTGTAATAAACCATATAAAATCAATAACACATTTCTGAAAATACAATGTAAAAGTGTTATGACTGATTTGTGTGAAAAGGAAGAGAATGTCATCCTTATAAGAAAATCTTCCATCTGTAAGTTAGCTGATGGGAGTTAAACTTTTTCCAACATTTCAGTTATGCTCTTGCTGCTAGATAGCAGTGGAATCTTTTTTCTCAATTTTCAGGATTTACATTTTTCTCATGAGACTAATGTATTACCATCATCAGAAAAGTCTGCATCTCTTTCAGTAGTGATGAATAATGCTATGCTTCGATTGCTTGTTGTACTTATTCAGGGATTGTTATTGCATTGTGTAAGAAAATCTTCTTAAATTAATTTTATGTTCCGTATAGTGAATATGGAATAAAGTGAATTAGTTTTATTTCATATATTTTTCCAGATATTAAGTACTGACCAATATTTTATGATTCAGACTGCTGTTAATTGTCCGTGTAGTTTCCACCATGGCATTTTAAAGTATATTATGCAACATTACATGTCAATGCAAATGACAAATTCTGTTAAAACAATAATTCAATCCACTTAATTGTTGAACTGATGTAGTGTGTGATAACACATTGTGGCTGTTTGAGGCTAAACACATCTGTTAATAACAGTTGATGGGGTGTTAACATTCTTTCATGAAAGTCCTGACAGTTTACTTTGTTTTACAAGTGCTGTATTTCCTTGACTGTTAAATTAACTAAAACACATATTTTCAAATAAATTGCAAGTTTTTTTTCTGTGTTGTGGTATGACTGCCAGGAGAATCTTGTTGAGAGTAAACATCACAAACTTGCAAGAAGTCTTCGAAGTGGTGTCTCTGACAAAGATGCTAAGCCTAATGCAAGTGTCCGTGATATCCTCAATACCATTGTGGCATATCCTCCAACGAAACAGCTGGCCACTGAAGAGCAAGATTTAGTTTGGAAGTTTCGTTTTTATCTCAGTAATCAAAAGAAGGTAAGTAAAAAGTTGAACTCAGGACTGTGAAGACCTTAAAGAAGCTATCAGGATTTTTATCATCAGTAGCGCCAGTTAGTCTTTTGGAAGGCAAATACAACCAAATAATTGATCTTAAATCAAGTTCTACAGATATTTACAATTTATTAGTGCAGATAATTGCTATCTGAAGCATATTTGTGGATCAGGGTGATGGTGATATATAATATTAGCAACAATGAAGTGCTAAGAATATCTGTTTTTTTAGCATTGTTTCTCAGTATGATGTATATGTATGTATGTAGTATTGTCTCATTTCAGGCTACTAAATTTCCTTGAATGAAAGAAGCCTTCTTAACCTCTTTTATACTTCAGGGAAAAGTTTAGAATTTGTCTTCATGGGATCCATTAAAAATAAGTGAAGATGAATGTGAAGAATACTGGCCACTGTGATTTCAGGTTGTTGGTCTTCTGTGGCAGTGATCTTATCACCACCCTGCCATTAGACATATGCACGCATGTGTGCATGTAATATCTTTCTTTTCTCTGCAGTTATACGAGTAGCATTGAAATCATTTATAGACTTTCACTACTATTAATTTTTATATGTATTGTGCTTGCAGCATTCTATAGTATTCTATGAACAGGATGGTATTGAAGCGTATCAGTTTCGACGTCAAGCTGATCTCGTTAGAGTTCCCGATCATGAAATACTACAGGTAATTATTAGTTGATTGTGTAAGGATCACATTGCTTTCTGTTTATTCTAAATATTTCATTCTCATGTTTTGAGTGAATATTGCCCTTCAAATTTGTTTGCGGTTAGTTGTAATAAACCATATAAAATCAATAACACATTTCTGAAAATACAATGTAAAAGTGTTATGACTGATTTGTGTGAAAAGGAAGAGAATGTCATCCTTATAAGAAAATCTTCCATCTGTAAGTTAGCTGATGGGAGTTAAACTTTTTCCAACATTTCAGTTATGCTCTTGCTGCTAGATAGCAGTGGAATCTTTTTTCTCAATTTTCAGGATTTACATTTTTCTCATGAGACTAATGTATTACCATCATCAGAAAAGTCTGCATCTCTTTCAGTAGTGATGAATAATGCTATGCTTCGATTGCTTGTTGTACTTATTCAGGGATTGTTATTGCATTGTGTAAGAAAATCTTCTTAAATTAATTTTATGTTCCGTATAGTGAATATGGAATAAAGTGAATTAGTTTTATTTCATATATTTTTCCAGATATTAAGTACTGACCAATATTTTATGATTCAGACTGCTGTTAATTGTCCGTGTAGTTTCCACCATGGCATTTTAAAGTATATTATGCAACATTACATGTCAATGCAAATGACAAATTCTGTTAAAACAATAATTCAATCCACTTAATTGTTGAACTGATGTAGTGTGTGATAACACATTGTGGCTGTTTGAGGCTAAACACATCTGTTAATAACAGTTGATGGGGTGTTAACATTCTTTCATGAAAGTCCTGACAGTTTACTTTGTTTTACAAGTGCTGTATTTCCTTGACTGTTAAATTAACTAAAACACATATTTTCAAATAAATTGCAAGTTTTTTTTCTGTGTTGTGGTATGACTGCCAGGAGAATCTTGTTGAGAGTAAACATCACAAACTTGCAAGAAGTCTTCGAAGTGGTGTCTCTGACAAAGATGCTAAGCCTAATGCAAGTGTCCGTGATATCCTCAATACCATTGTGGCATATCCTCCAACGAAACAGCTGGCCACTGAAGAGCAAGATTTAGTTTGGAAGTTTCGTTTTTATCTCAGTAATCAAAAGAAGGTAAGTAAAAAGTTGAACTCAGGACTGTGAAGACCTTAAAGAAGCTATCAGGATTTTTATCATCAGTAGCGCCAGTTAGTCTTTTGGAAGGCAAATACAACCAAATAATTGATCTTAAATCAAGTTCTACAGATATTTACAATTTATTAGTGCAGATAATTGCTATCTGAAGCATATTTGTGGATCAGGGTGATGGTGATATATAATATTAGCAACAATGAAGTGCTAAGAATATCTGTTTTTTTAGCATTGTTTCTCAGTATGATGTATATGTATGTATGTAGTATTGTCTCATTTCAGGCTACTAAATTTCCTTGATACCTTAGACCAGTGGTATTCAACCTTTTTTGTTTGTGTACCCCCAGATATAATTTCTCTTCAACTTTGTACCGCCAAAGTTGTTGGTGTATAATTCAAGTTATACATAGTATATAATATACATCTAAAATGAATTAAATAAATTACATTACTGATTATTCATTGTTTATCATAAAATAATATATATATTTTTTTAAAATTTCACGTGACCCCTAAGATGTCTTCATATGCGTACCCAAGGTTGAATACCACTGCCTTAGATCATATTTTGCTCATTTCTTTTTGAAGTATATTTTAAATCTCGTTTGCCAAGGATCTTTAATTAAGGAATATAGTTTTCCTTCAGTATACTAAGTTGTGATTGCTGTTCCTTGATACAGGATTTTACAAATGGACTTAGTGGTTCTATGTGTCTCATTTCTAATTAATATATTATTCAACTTAAAATAAATGAGACTCATTTATAATGACTGTCTTTTGACTTCACTTTGTTTGTTCCAGGCTCTAACCAAGTTCCTAAAATGTGTAAACTGGAAACTAAGTGGAGAAGTTCGGCAGGCATTGGATATGCTGCAGCAGTGGACACCAATGGATGTAGAGGATGCCTTAGAACTGCTGAGCTCCAACTTCACGCATCCGGCCGTACGGAGATACGCTGTCACACGACTCAAACAAGCCCCTGATGAGGTAGTATCTGAATTATTAATATCAGGGTGAGATCACGTCATTTACTGTATTAACAGTTTTTAAACATTTTCTTAAATTGATTATTTAATATTCTGCAGTCTGAAATTTATAGAAGATGGAGTTGTCAGATTTTATATTTTGTCTGGAGTTGTTCCTAATACATTTCGTTTTTTGTGGGTTGTCTGATAACAAGTTTCTCCATCTATTTCTTCTCCTAGTTCTAGAGTATGTCTGTGACTGGTAATTTTTTATTCTTTCTGTAACTTCTTTTGTTTTAACTGTTTGGAAGAGAATCGTCTGAGTGTTTAAGGTCATCAGAGACCAGAGTATTTCCTAATATAACTTATGTCTGTGAGTTCATAATAGAAAAATTTGTTCTTTGGACAGTATCTGTGAACAAGCAAGAATTAATTCTAATTTTACTAAATTTTTAATTTCAGAAACATAATTTGATTATATATTAAATTATTTTACTAGTTACATTGTTATGAAACTTTGGATATTGGTTTGCATGTTCTGAAATTTTTCATTTTTACGTATTTGAGATCATAACAGTGAAGAGAATAACTTTTCAGATCTATTATGAAAGCTATGTATTCCTTAAACTTTTATATATACAGATATATTTGAAGTATGAGGGTAAGGGTGAAGATCAGTATTTATTCTGTCTAAATCATGAACTTTACTAATAAATGTAAATATGAAAATTGCACCTTTTTGCTTTTACTTTAAAAAGGGTATATGGTGTGATAGTTTCAGGATGCATTGTTTTAAAATGGTACAACAAGGGGCTAAGTGCCAGAAAATTCTGTTTCATCATATTTACTGTCTCTGACCATGGCTTTGCAGGATCTGCTGTTGTATCTTCTCCAACTTGTTCAAGCTCTCAAATACGAGAATTTTAATGAAATCAAGGAGGGCTACAGTCGACTGTTTCCTGGACGAGATGCATCCGTGTCATCACAAGAAGATAACCAAAGTGAACGAACAACAGTCAGGTAGTTATATGGAGTTTTATAACGCAGTTTATCCAACCCATTGGCTGTTATTGCTTCCTGTCCTAGTCTGCCACAGTGAGAAATTACTTTAATTCAATATTATATACCCTTAGGTTAATGTGACCATAGTGTAATGTATAATTTAAGCTTTCAGGGTTTAGCCACATTTATGTTGATGGTGTTTCAACATTTTGGTGACAATTGCAGATACCATCTTCATGGTGAGTGTGTGGCAAGGGAAAGGCAGATGTTACACAGGTTATGCTGTGGGAATTTGGGCAGAGAGTGACAAGTGTGATTATGTGAACTGCGAAGTGGAGTGCTGTCCAATGGGGAAGATGCAGTGGTTAAGAAAAAGGTGAAACCAGGTTTTGCTCAGTCTCTGTCCATCAGCGTGGTTGACATTCTGTGGGTGGTTAATGGCAAAGGTTCGATAATAAGAAGAGGGATTAGATGAAAAGAGGTGACACTAGGATTTTCTCATTCTGTATTTGTTTTCATGGTTGAAATCCTGCAGGTGTTTTATTTCAGTGGCATCGCTAATGATGTAGGTATGGCAGGTTGGGATGGTGGCTTCTTTTGATGTTGTCTTTGTTCTGTATGTAGTTGTTTGGCTACTACTGTTTGTTCGTTCTCCAGTCTGGTGTCTCCGGTCTTCAAAAGTTCTAGTGGAGATGTGATGTCCCATTTCACCACTTACACAAGATTCCTTACTGTTGTGGTAAGGTCTACATGTGGCTAAACCCCCAAAGCCAGAGTTATAAATTTGTTACAGAGTTACAGAAAGGAAATAGACATGTCATGTGCATGATTTTTTTAAGCATACTTGTTTGAGTTTAGAAACAAAATTCCTTGTGGAAATGTATTTGGGGAGGAATTTTTATAATTTTTTATGTGTTTTGTTACATCCACTGTATATCTTACATTTTTTACAGGGAAACAAGAGATCCTGTTGAAACTACAATGAAGAAATCTTTTAGTTTCACCCCTGTGGATCAAGCTGTAGGAGCCGATGATGCATCTCCTCCAGTTGCCAGATCTAACTCCCTGCTTGAGAGTTTAGTGCAGAATAGTGTTCCTGCAGAGCAGACAGATTCGAAAGTGGAGACTGGTCAAGGAGGCCAGTGGGGACCAGAGAGGGAAGAAACTAGTCAAGATCTTGCTACTTTCCTAATATGGAGGGCCTGTCAGAACTCAACTCTAGCCAACTACTTTTATTGGTATTTATTTTATTTGTGGCACAAGTTCTTTACACCTAAGATGACCCACACATATTTGTATTCTGAAGCCAATGAGTGGTAAGACTTGCTTTGATAGAGGACTCCTAAGATGACCCACACATATTTGTATTGTGAAGCCAATGAGCGGTAAGACTTGCTTTGATAGAGGACATGCAAAATGTCATTGTAGTTTAAGAATTTCCAAATTTGTCTTGGTACTTGTAAATGTAGCCACAGTATAACCTGAAATTGAATTTTATCACCATTTCACATTTCATCCTTTTTCCTGTACAGCTGACACTGTTATGTCAGCATTTTGCAGCTCATTAAAAATTGTATTTTCAAAAGTTAGCAGTTTTAACAACATTTTTGTATTAGTTGAAAATGATTACATATTTTTATAAAATATAATACTGTATGCAATATCGCTGTAGTAGGTTTTAAGCATGTGGTATTATGACCAGAAACAAGGAATGGCTCGGCAAAATTTCTCAGCTCAACACTACAATATTTTTGTTTAGAAGATAAGTTATAACTGTTTTTTGCTTAACTATTAGTTTAACATTAAGTCTGAAGGTGGCAAAATCTTCTGCAGTAATTATCTGTCCTAAACAGATGAACACTTAAGTTACAAAAACAATAACCTTGGTTAAGAACGGATAGGTATGCTTGTGCTAATTCCCGTCAACTTTGAAAGGTCATATGCTATTACTATTTAATTTTAAATTCAGTTAAATTTGGTAATTCGTTGTTTGTTGTGTTAGGTACCTTTTGATAGAATGTGAAGACCAAGAGTTGGCAGTGAAACAAGACAGCAAAGTGCGAGATATGTACCTTACCGTCATGAAGACATTCTCCCAGGTAAACCAAATTATATCATGGAATCAGGTTTCAGTCCAGCACTAAGTGACTGATTGTCCAAAGGTTTGTAATAGTGATTGATTCATTACAACATGAGAGTATAATTTGTAAGGTTTTATAGCATTGAATGAGATGGGAATGTTATTATGAATGTTGAGTAGGTAAGGACTTGAAAGGAGGCATCTATAATTAATAAGCGTCCTCAAATTTTATGCTTTGTAACATCTGTATATAATCTAAGAAAGAAAACAAAAATTTATACTTATTATTTTAAAAACTTTGACATGACTTATAAATGAGATTAATTTATTTTCTTAAAATTTTATAAATTGTTGCAGCTTATATTAGCTTACAGACCATAGACATCCATTTATTAATTTATGAAAATATAAATATGGGCAATAACATTATATTTTAACCATAAATATTTTCATTTATATAAAAGTAATAAAGGGAAAATTTTAAGTTTTTGACATGAGGATTTTGAGATTATTGATGTAGTACAGTATTTGGTAGGCAATGAAATGAAGATATAAAAAACAAATTTAATGTTTTAACTTGTATGAGAAAAAAGAATATATAACAACTGGATTAACCATTTTGAAAGATTAAAGTATGTGAAACAAATGTGAAAGTTTGCACCTGATGGAAAATTAAATGTAGACCTCTGGAGAGACTGATGTAGCAACTGAAAATTTTGAAGCCATTTCAGGTCAAAGGATCATAATGTTGATGAAAAATATCTTGTATGTATGTTCAGTTATAACCATTGAAAAGAAAAGGATGTTATGAAGTGATTGGAATTAAATTGTCTTGCTTAAGATACTTTATCACTGGCCATTTTGCACTGAACTTTCCTGTAATGTTGTGCCTATCAGCTTATTTCTTATCAACAAATGTATTATTCACTTTAATTTTTGACATTGTGGTTTCTTTACAGATATTATTAAAAGGGAATTCAGAGTGGCAGAGACGACGAAACTTTCTGTCTAGGCAGCAGACATTTATAGACAAACTTGTGCGACTTGTGAAAACAGTTGCTCGAGAAAGTGGTAACAGGAAAAAGAAGGTTTGTTCATTGTTTATTATGATAGCCAGAAAATTAAGAAATATTACATTGCATTAAATACAGTTTTCACTAAACCCTTTCGATGGCTGTATTTATTATTAAAATATACATATAAATTCAAGACAAAATGAGTAGTGAAATTTATACTTAAATGTTTCCTCACAGGCTGAAGATTGGATGTAAATTCTGTCATTATTCCATTGTCCCTTTGGAACATATGTTCCTGATCCTGTTCTTGAAAAGATTAAATAATTTAAGGCTAAATGTTATTCCTAGTGAAGAAAATATATTGTTAAATATTGTCTTCCTTGTAGACTGAACAACTACAGGCCCTACTTGCTGATTCAGAAGCTTTCAAGATTAATTTTGCTTCATTTGAACCTCTGCCATTTCCACTTGATCCTGATGTTCATATAACAGGAATAATTCCAGAAAAGTGAGTAAACAAATTAAGGTGTATGGGCAGTGATGTATAGTGTGAGTGGAATTAGTTTTGTATATGACAGTTGTCTAAAATTATAACCCCATTAAAGTAAAGCTGTCCCACTACACACCACGTAGGTGCTCGGAGGGGGGGGGAGTAGGTACAGCTCCTACTCAGTCTTAACCTCAACACTAAATCGGGGTGAGTGGCCAGCATCACACCCAAGCTGTGCTTTTGCGTGGGCCTCAGAGCTGGTCTGGGTGCAGAGGCTAGAGGAAAAAATCCTCTTCCGCTGTCAGGGATCAAACCCTGGTTGTCCAGTCCGTAGTCAGTCACTGTTAGAACATTATAACCGAGTGTTAAAGTTTAACACCTGTACCTCAAGAACCTTTCATAGGATGCTACCCTGAAATAGTCCAATCTAGATCACATCTCATGACAAGATTCTGCCATTATCCCTCAAATTATACCTCGCTCTTTCTCAAGTGGTCTCTTTTCATGATGTATTTCAAGCAAAGATTTGTATGTGTTTTGTACTTCTTCTATGTGTGCTACATGACACATAGAACTGTAACTTAGATTTTGATTCTACTACATTAGTTGCCCGTTTCCGTTACTATTCGGTAAGGAGCTTCATAGTCCCGTGCTGTAGCTGTGCGGTCTGAGGCATCATGTTTAGGACCAGTGTATGGGACCTGTGCCAACCCAGCATCGTGAGGAAATTGGGGAGCTTGATCGTTCACCTCTGCTTAGGCATGTGAACTTGAGGCCAGCAGTCAAGCTAGTCGGCTTTGGCTCTGGAGCTGTTACGCAATGGATAAAGGAGCTTCATAATTATATTCCTCACCAAGGGTGAAAAAATGAATGAGGTTTAAGTTTTATAACTTGTGTACCATTGTTATTTACACATGTTCATTGGATTACAGAGCAACACTCTTCAAGTCAGCTCTGATGCCATCAAAACTAACATTCCTCACCACAGAAGGTACAGAATATGTAGCCATTTTCAAGTATGGAGATGATTTGAGACAAGATCAGCTCATTCTTCAGATGATCACTTTAATGGACAAGCTTTTGCAGAAAGAAAAGCTGGATCTCAAACTTACACCTTACAGAGTCCTAGCTACGAGCACACGACATGGTATGTATTTTCTTGTACAAAATTAGAGATCTAGTCTTCTGTAAACATTTTCTATTTGTATTAAACATTGTTAGTAGTGTTATTTGAGAGAGAAGTGCTTTTGTAATGCAGAGAAGGACTCTTATATAGTGAAATTTGATACATTTTATAAATGTATTTGTTAAATTGAGAATTTCCCAGAATAAAAACTGTTGAAATGTATCTCAGATGTTTAAAATTTTACTTTCAATATAAATATTGTAAGTAGTGTGTTTGCTATTGCCACTCAAAAGTTTCTCTATAAATTGGCCTATATTACATTTTGATACTTTTGATGTGACAGCTGTAAAGTTTCTTTTCAGATTTCACACTGAAGGTAGTTTTAAGTTACAATTAAATTTTTAACAGTTCTTTTAAGTATTTAAATTGTTATTTTGATTTCAATTTTAAAGTTTATTTTTCTTATGCTTCATGTGCTGAAAGTCATATGTTTAATTGTTTAGGTTTTCTTCAGTATGTTGAATCAACACCAGTAGCAGAAGTTCTTGGAACTGAGGGTAGCATACAGAACTTCTTCAGAAAACATCACCCATCTGAGACTGGGCCATTTGGCATTGCACCAGATGTTATGGATACCTACACTAGCAGTTGTGGTAGGTCACATTAGTTTGTGCTGGAAATATGGGTGATTGCATTTGACTGACTAGCATGCTTGCCACTGGACCAAAGGTTCGTGGGTTCAAACCTGGCCAAGGTTGATGGATTTTTAAGGGTGATAAAAATCTGTAGTATAACTTCCTCTGCAGGGGAAGTAAAGCTGGTGGTCCCATGTTGTAGATTTACGGCATGTAAAATAACTTTACAATCATGAACGAAATGTTTCATAAGCAAAATTCCCACCGAAATCTACCAGACTATACAGCGCAATAACCCAGAAGACAGCAATCTTGAGTTTTTTGTACCAGGTGCGGCAGAGGAAACGCATGTTTTTCAAATAACAATAACTCAGTTGATTTTCAAGTTAAAAAAAATTTAATTACACAAAGAGAAAGGTTTTACAATCCAGTTTTTGTTGAACATTTTTGAATTAGTTCCGAAAAATGACAAGGCGGCCAAGGGATATTACTGAAACGGGAGATGATGTGTTGGGGAAACATGCCACGAACCACCTGCATCGATGGTCTTGCCATGTGTGCCGTGGCACCATCCTGCTCACGGGTCCACGGTGCCATGGCTACTGAAACTGCATTATCTAAGCTGTCTACTAGCAAGGGGCGGAAATCCCCCACCCTACTCCTTGCCGAGTACTAGCCATTCTAAAAACATGCGTTTCCTCTGCCGCACCCAGTATAATTGGAGTTGTCATTAAGGCTGTTTAGTAAAATCTTAGGAATGAATTAATTATACTAGTGCAACATCTATGAATTGTGTTGGAAATATGTATTGTATTATTATGACTTACTCAACATCCTGCTGACATCTACTTGTGGATCCATGGAATATATGCGTGTATGTACAATATGTCTTGTTTCCAAAATTCTGTTAATATATTTTCTGTGTAGCTGGGTACTGTGTTATCACATACTTACTGGGAGTTGGTGACCGACATTTAGACAACTTGCTTCTCACAACATCTGGGAAACTGTTCCATATTGATTTTGGTTATATACTGGGCCGAGACCCCAAACCTCTACCACCGCCCATGAAACTGAGCAAAGAGATGGTGGAAGCAATGGGTGGAATAAACTCGGAATATTACTACAAGTTTCGCAAGCAGTGCTACACAGCCTTCCTTCATTTGCGCAGGTTAGTGGTGTCTTTACAGGAATTAAAATTGGCATATTAAAACAAAAGTAATGAGATTGGGTTTTTATTTGGAACAGTAGCAGAGAGAATGTTCACAGTTAACATTATGTTACAGTGGTTAGCACTCTTGCTTTATATTTGGGAGGTCGTGTTGAATCTGACTGGGTAAGCATTATTTTTCTCAGATTCTGCAGCAGTACCTTAAAGTAGGCCATGATGACCTCTTTCCACATCCTAAAGTACTTACATATTCTGTAAACTAGCACTAAACTTGTGGTTAATGTCTGTTTTAACTTAATTCTTCAAAGCTCTGGAAGGCCTTAAATAAGTTGACTTAAGCACTTCATATTGAGCACCAAAGAGTTATGATATATGTCCAATCAAAGTTAAGTTTAAGTACTTGCTGCTTGTATAATGAACAGAGGATGCAGTTTCATAAACTGGACTTTTGAAAAGTGATTAAATGCATATCAAGCTCATTTTATATACATATGTATGTATATTTAAGCTGGTTGTGGTTGTCTATTAAGTGTATATGTATGTATATTTAAGCTGGTTGTGATTGTCTATTAAGTGTCACAAGCAATTTGCAGCTCACATTTACCATTCTATCTTCATCGGTATATACTTAAAGTGGTGAAGTTTATTCTAAGAGTATATTGTATACAACATTTTGTTGATTTGTAGGTGACACAGTTAAATACAGTATTGTAAATGTGGTGCATGTGTTCGTAGGACTGCTGTTTAATGGGTTCATACTGTTCCAAATTACAGACAAAGCTTTTATTGTTTCAGAAATTCAAATCTGGTGTTAAACTTGTTCTCCCTTATGGTGGATGCAAGTGTGCCTGACATTGCATTGGAACCTGACAAAGCTGTAAAGAAGGTTCAAGATAAACTAAGACTAGATTTGGAGGAGGAAGAAGCAGTCAGCTACCTGCATACAATATTGGATGTATCTGTAACGGCTGTGATGGCTGTTCTTGTTGAGCAATTGCATAAGTTTGCACAGTATTGGAGGAAATAACTGCACCACTTCCTGTTTGGGGAGTAAGCATTATGTTTTTCTGTTTATTGTATGCATTTATATATGATACTGTGAATAGTTATTGATAATACATATTGACTTGAATACTGTGATATCTGGACTTACATACAAATAATGTTTCCATTTGCTTTTTATTTCAGCCTTCTGGTTATCCATCACGAACTTGTAATGATGAAATACCCTCTTCCAGCATTGAAACAAAACTTAACCAAGACTTAATACTGTAGTGAAATATGACGATAACACTTTTCAATGAGCAGCATGTTTTTCTTTTATAGCAGATGTAAAATTGAATGTGTTTATGAAGAAAGTCTGTGATTTCTGTGAATGATTTTAATAATATAATAATATTTATAAAGAGGTATGAGGTAGTCATTCTGTTCCTCTCCCAGAGAGTTTTACATCAAATTCTGAAAAGACGGCAGTTCTTTAGGGAGTTTTGTTTTGTCGGTGATGAAGATATCATTGGTGGACTTCTGGGTTGTGACACCATGTGATCTTGTTGGTGGTAACTAGTGTTTTGGAATAATGTATCACCACCCTGAAGATGGATGTGATACATTCCTCCATAATACTGATGACCACCTACAGGGCCAGGAATATCATACATAGTTGACTGTATTATTACTTCAGTGTGTTCATGCACCTTACCATGCCAGTGTCTGCTTGATGCCAAATGTAAGTACATACTTTTTGTGCAAACTATCTGAGTGAGCATGCAGCAAGTGACTGAAGCTGATTGATTGATGGAAGCACATGGCAGTAGATGTGCAGAAGCATCCAAAACTTAGCTGCTATCATTCATGTCAGTCAGTATACTAGAGAGCCACAGGAAATTCTTTTCTGTGCTTAGCTGATGACTTGTTTGATTCTGATGAATACCAAAATTGTCAGTTTTCTTCATGTTTTATTCAACTTTAATCTGTGGTCTTCATTCCATGAATGTTCTGCTGTTTTATGCTTGAATTTTCTCCTGTTTTTATGTTTGAGGTTATCTTTACCATATGTTTTATTTTACATTCGCACTGTATGCTGTATATGCAATTCTTTGACTCCTGCATCTAATTTTGTCTTTGTGAATATGCAATGAAGCATTTTTAAAATCTGAATACTGTTCATACTCAAACATTTTTCCTGATTCTTCAATCTTTTTGTGGTGTCCTTATGATGTTTTGAACTGCCACAGCACTGTTGTGGTTTCCTAACTTAATGGGGTTCTTTTATAGCTGTTTTTGAGGTCTTCATTTAGGAATGTTGCTTTTACTGATTGTAATGACAGCCATATGCCTCAAGATGAGATTACAGCGTGTTTTAAAAATGCCCTGTGTATCAAATATACATCAGATGGTGGACAATGCCTAGCATAATATTTGTATAATGAACTATTAAACTGCATTGTTCAGAGTATAGGATCAAATATTTCTGAATTTATTCAGTGTCCCTTTTACAGTAAAATTATCACCATTTTAATCCTGTTATTTAATTATGTCAATTTTTGTAGGAAGTGTTCATTTTAAGTTTTGTTTCCTATTTTATTTAATAATGCTTTCTCAGTTGCATTGACAGTCTACCACCATAAATTATGTTCATATGTAGTATATTGTCTAATGTATATAAAATTTCATTATTTAAACTTTATTATCATAAATTTTACAGTTACAGGGTAATTTATAAGCATGCAGTGTGGTATGGATGCTACATTGTAGTTATGGATGATATTTTTAACAAGTAAGAGAATTCAAGAAGTATAAAATATGCATATTATTTCTATATTTTATCCTATTTCCTTTCAAAGACAATGATTTATATAGGGAAATAGAGTTGGTGTCTTGGTCATACAAATTTTAGAAGGAAATTGAAGGTTTGGTTCCGTAGGAATAGTACACATGCAAGACAACAAAAGAAGCAATCATGTGTGATATCGAAGGTTTTGTTATAAACCACTCATCCCACAGAGTTCATTGCATTATATCAATCAAACCATGCACTTAGCATTATGAAATGTTTTACCTTGCAGAGGTAGTGGCTGGTAGGGATGGGTAATGACTGAATAATTAGGACATAAGTAGTAGGTTCAGCTGTGATATTTATTGAGTTCATCCAATACTAACCAATGACTTGCCTAATGACTACAATGAAGATGGAAGGTTGCCTAGCAACTTGCCTAATGACTACAATGAAGATGGATGGCTGCCTAGCAGTTCTATTGTTTCCACTGTAGTCATCTTGAAAATAAGTAATTGAAAGTGCATATATAATATTTTGCCCTTTGATTGCTGCCTCATTATTCAGTGAGCCTTTACCATACCTAAGGCAGTAGAACATTGTAAAATAACACCCCATGTTATGCTTAGTGCAAATTTAACCTTTTTGTGTGGGAATAGGGAATTTAAATCCAAAAACTACAGAACTGCCAACTGCACTTTAACCCTGGTGGTATGCTGCCATGACATATGATTAGCTGCGTAGTGCCTAAGTTGTATGACTTCTGCATATAATATTGAAAGAATTTGCAAATGGTTTCTCAAAGGTTAAAGTCCTACACTTTATGTGAGCAAGTCATAAAATTGAATTATGTTAATGAAACATTCGTTGAGCTAGATGGTGCTGTTGAGTTTGATTTTTGGGGTTATAGGTCATATCTCATCCAAGGACGGAAGATAATATTTTATTACAACCTTAACTGTTACCATACGTATAAGCATCTCACTGCAGCCTACATTATTAAATGCATTACTGTCGTAGATACAAGCGTTAGATAAGTAAGATATTTCAGTTATACATGAGGATTATTTAATAGTCTGAAATTTTTTGTGCGAAAGTGCCGACGTGAAGACCACATTTCTCTCTCGTTCAGAACATCTATTTTTAGATCTCTTGTATATTGCTGATTTGCCGCTTAAAGTTGGCAACATTCCAAGTCATACTAAGATGAGGCGGCGGTGTTTCCGAAGGTCGAATCATTGTCATAGTGAATTGCTAAATACATCAAGTGGTCTCTGTAACCTTGCCGCTTAGTTCTCTTTTTTTTCCACAATTAGAAAGCAAGAAAATGTTTCGCACAGTATTAAGACACTGCCTCGCCAAACTTGAAAGACCGTATTCTACAGCAACATTACCTGTACCAAACACAAACCCAGAGATTTTGTATACTGGGGTGAGTTGTCTTACATGTAACTAGGTGAACATTGTGTTGGGGAAAAGAGAAGTGGTAGGAACACTTTTGGGATAGAATAGAACTGAATTTGTTTAGATTCCATAGATCCTTCATAGGTCCAAGGCAAGGATGTAGAACATATAGCACAAATACTGTTTCTAATAGAAATATGAATTATGTAGTTATAGCAGCATTTTACAGTCAGGTACAGTATTACTGCAAAAATAATTACACAAGAGAGCTTAGTTTAGCGATAATGTATTGAATTTTCAATTTATGTTATTGTCAGTTGGTTGTTTTTACTTAAATTGTTTTATTCTCATACCGTATTCATAGATTAACACAGTTTTATTGGTAGTACAAAATTTCATGAAATTTGTTTTGTCAAAATGTAACATGAGTTAATTGGCTTTCACCATTTGTTCATGATGGGAGACATCATTCATGCAAATTTATGCAACATTTCTTTATCACAGACAAGAAGTTGACTGAATTAACTGATTTGAATAGGTGACATCACTAGACAAGTTCAAATGAACTGAAGCATGATAAAATACAGTATATAAGCTTTTATGTATCAGTATATTTGCTTTGTGTAGTGGGCCATGGACATATGTTCTGATGTATTTTTTTAAGGTTCATTCATAGGAAAATAAGGTGCACTGTCTCCATATTTCAAAGGTTAGAGGCTACAAGGGAAATGAAATATATGCAATATTTCAGCGATGGAGGGGTACTAGAACATAATATCAGCTCAGTCATGTGGTGACAGGACTGAAATTGAGAAATTAGAATGTATTGGTCATTTCCATAAAAGAATGGACTTTCAATTGAGATGCTTGGTACAAGGTATTGGGGGAGGGGGAACTTGTTGATGGAAAGGGCTTTGGTGGACAACACACACTCCATTTAGTTGATGTAACACTGACTGGGAATTATGAATGTGAATTATATCTATACAGGAGTCTGCTCTTACATTTCAGATCTTCATCAACAATGAATGGCATAAATCATTGTCAGGGAAGACATTTCAGACCTTGGATCCAGCAACAGGTCAGGTTATTGCTGAAGTGCAGGAAGGAGACAAGGTAGGTTTTATGACAATCATGGCACTCATTTGAATATCTGTCATGTAGTATGTAAGTGGGGAACCTGAAGAGAACATATGTTTTCAGAAACACATAATTCTGTTGTTTTATTTTTGTGTGAAATATGGGTTTTCATAAAGGAGATATATGGCTAGTACTTTGTAGACTGTGGTCCAAGACTATCCTGACTGATGTTTTTGTGGTTTTCCTCAGTTCCTCTAGGCAGATGCTGAGATTACCTTAAATTAGGCCATGACCCTTCCACATCCTTTCTAATTCATTACTCACTGTTATCCTCTTATCTGGCACTGTGTAGTCTAGATACTGAATGTGTCATTAAATAAACTAGAAATAAATAAATAAACACTGAAAAATTGTTTTATAAACATATTTCCTTCAGAAACTTTCTTCTGATATAAGTATTAGTATTACTAAATATATTTTTAAACTGCTCAAGAAATCTGAAGCGTTGCATTGGTTTAGTTATCATCTACTGTATTCCTGTTATCTGTGAATAAGCAAAGGACAATACTTGAATTTTTGACAGTAGAAGGTTCCTAAAAAACAGAGTAGTTGTAATAAGTAACTTAGGTTAGAAACAGTCGCAGGAAGGGTAATATCAGTGTACATAAACAAAAGCCAGATTTGGGACCAAAAGTGATTTGTACTTGAATTAAGAATATATATATGTTTAATATAAATACTGAACAGTCTCTTCAGTGTGCGTTGTGTGGGAAATAGGTAAATGGTAATGCTGTGAAACCATCATAGTTAAACATTTAGAGACAAAATATAAATTCAAAAATGAATTCAGAGACATTTTTGGATGACGATCTTCTAAATCTGGCATCAAGAAACTTCAGCTATGAATGCACTGTCAATTTGTTAGTTGTTTCTTGCTTTTAAAGTTTATTTTATAGGAGTTGATGTAATTTTTCTTTGCAGGCAGACATTGACATTGCTGTGAAGGCTGCAGCAGAAGCATTCAAGCTTGGTAGTCCATGGAGACGCATTGATGCGTCAGAGCGAGGAAATCTGCTCTATCGGCTGGCCGATCTACTTGTTCGGGATCGAATATATCTGGCAGTGAGTGCTTGGCTGTTCTGTAATGGTTATAATTTCTAATTTGTGAAACAAAACTATGGTACCCCTATATGCAGTTTGTAAGTAGGAAGAAGAGGGGAGGGGGGGTGAAAGATATGGGAGGAGGAAATTGCTGGCTCACAGTTTAGCTGAATATTTACAGCATGTAACGGTGTTGCTATATAGTTTTGTTTTTGCCGATTTTGAGGAAGTTTGATGTTGCTGCAAGTTCTTCCTAAAATTTAATCGGCCATTTTCAGGTGACTGTTTATGTATATTTTTAATTTTTACCGCCAAGAACGTATTTTATGCTTTTGTTTGTGCATTATATGTTGTGTATAAGTATTGAAACACATGCTTATATGTCTGATTTGGAATAATTGCTACATGAATGGTGGAATGCTTAATTTACAGAGTTTGGAAACTTTGGATAATGGTAAGCCATACAGTGCAGCTTATGCCTTTGACATACCAGCAGCCGTAAAAACGCTGCGTTATTATGCCGGTTGGGCAGACAAAAACCACGGCAAGACAATTCCGTTGGATGGTGATTATTTCTGTTACACCAGGCATGAACCCGTCGGTGTGTGCGGTCAGATCATTCCATGGAACTTCCCAGTCCTAATGGCTGCGTGGAAACTTGGCCCCGCTCTGGCAACTGGTATGTTTCTGCGTGTAATTTAACGATGGTTGTTTGTTACTAAATTTATTTGCTCTTTGCGTGTAAGCTGTTTCAAGTGGGACGCACTTGCACAGAGACTAGTAGTATTAGGTGACTGCCAATCAGCTTGCATTTATTTATCACAGGGAATGTTGTTGTTCTGAAGCCAGCAGAACAGACACCTCTGACAGCTCTTTACATCGCTCATCTTATAAAAGAAGCTGGATTTCCAGCAGGAGTCGTGAATGTTGTACCAGGTTACGGTAAAGCAGGAGCTGCTCTGGTCGAGCATAATGGCGTGGACAAGGTGGCATTCACAGGATCTACCGAGGTGTGTTCATCGACAGTGGTATATCTAGATTAAAGAATAGAGGGTGTTTTATGAGCCTTTTTTTACTTCCATCATTGCCAACCATGCAGAGTAAAATTATGTTTCTGTTTTCTCACAATTTTTATTTTGTGTTATGAATGTACAGGTTGGAAAATTAATTCAGCAAGGTGCGGGTCAGAGTAACTTGAAGCGTACCACATTGGAACTGGGTGGAAAATCTCCAAATATTATTTTCAGCGATGCAGATCTTGATTATGCTGTGGAGCAAGCTCACTTTGGACTTTTCTTCAACATGGTTGGTGCATTTTAAAGCGTTTTATTG